TAGGAAACTATTTTACATTAGATCATGGGAATTAGCCATCCATCATCTATCTACCTTCCCTTAGGATTTAAGTAAAAAATTTCATTATCCAATTGAAATAATCTAAAATAAAGGTAAATGACTATTATAAGAACTTTTAATGATTGTTTTTGGAATAAGATTGCTTTGCAAGATTTTAATGAAGTAGAGTACTTCTTCTTGGAGGAGGTCTGTGTTATTACAGATTCTTTTAATTCTAAGAAGTGCATTAATAGTATTGATAATGACCTTTTAAGAAATGTTAGAATTCCAGTTATATTAATCTATTACATACCTGTCAACCTCTAAAGATAAAAATTCAGAAGATTTCTCCCCCAAATTCAGAAGATTTCTCCAAAATTCAGAAGAACACAAAGAATTAATATCATGCTTTGATATTGAAAAAATAACAATTTATATAAATAGAAAAAAGAAAATTGTACTTACATTAGTAAATCTCAATTAAGTAGTAACTAAAAAAATTATTAGGAAATATAAAACAAGAACTTAATGTTACACAAAAAAATTATTGCAATGAATTTAGAGTGCATTTTTTGGCTTTAGCCAAAAATTCTTTGGAAAATTTCCTGTCATAACAATTAGTTTCCTCATAACATTTAGCAATTAAAATGTTTTCTAGAGTTTTTGGTGAAATTGAAGAACGAAACATAGTTTTGTTTCAAAATTTATTAGGAAATATAAAACAAGAACTTAATGTTACACAAAAAAATTATTGCAATTAATTTAGAGTGCATTTTTTGGCTTTAGCCAAAAATTCTTTGGAAAATTTCCTGTCATAACAATGTTTCCTCATAACATTTAGCAATTAAAATGTTTTCTAGAGTTTTTGGTGAAATTGAAGAACGAAACATAGTTTTGCTTCACAACACTGAAGACTCTCTCGCACTCCTCAGCATTACTGTGTGGAATTACGAGAATAGCACATAAAACTCTTGCTAGTCTATCATATTTTGGTGTTTCATCAGCTCTTTTTATTCTTTTTAAGGTACCAACAAGGACATCAAGTCTATCTTCTCCAGAACTGGCAAAGTCTTCAAACTGTGCAGCAGAAAATTGGTTCTGTAGTTCATCTAAAGCATCATTATGGCATTCATTTTCTTTAATTGTTAACAAGAATGGAAATTTATCAATAAAAAAACAAATCTTTTCAAAAGATGAATTTTCAATTTGTTTCAAATTTGCCACTTTGGCATTTAAAAGAACTTCATTTTGCAAAGGAAACTTCCTTACAATGTAATCACAGGCTGAGGAAAAGTACTTTCTAACACATTGAAAAAAAATTCTTTTTTTTTCGTGATCTTTCAAAGAATTTACAAGTTCCCTGGTTTGATTTCCAATTATAAGATCATTGTCATCCTTTTGATTTGCCAAACTATTATAGGCAACACGAATCAACACACTGTTTTTCACAACGGACGGTTTTGCAAACTTAGTATAAAGTTCTTTCAAAAGATCATTAAGAATTTGGATAAGCAGAGGAGATTTTGGTGAAGCTGATTGTAGAAGGGTATTTACACTTTCAAAAATCTTAATGGTACTTAACACAAAACTACAATATGCTTTGTTCAAATCCGAAGAAAGAAGATGGAAAATCTTATCCTCCCGGCTAATAGAAGACTGTTCTTCTTCCCTTCAACTTCTTTAACAAAGTTGGCCTTTGAGGAGTCTTCTAAGCATTTTCTTTTTAAAGGGTTTGATTCTGTGTGTTGGCTTTTCCCTTTTAAAGCATTTTGATTAGAAGCAAAGTTGGTTTTCGGAATCTTATATGCCGACAAATTTGATGGGATCTGTGGTTTCGTTTTGGTCTCTTCGTGGAAATATTTTAGCAATGCATCCCACTGTTCAATAAACCTTCTTAGCACTCTGCCTAAGGATAACCATCTCGTGCATACATGTTTCAGAATTTTTGTCGTTTCACCAGAGCACAGTTCTAGGAAATTCTTTAGGTTTTCTTCCTTTTACACTTTTTTCCTGATAGAAAAGCACATCAGTCAGAAGCTGGTCAATATTTAATGGTAAAGCAGCTGCAGCTTTTTCAGCTGCCAAATTAATTAAGTGGCATGGGCATCCAATAACAATTAATTCATTTTGTTCTTTTTTGAGGAAAGAGGCTACACCCTTTTTGTCACCCACCATGACATGAGCATTATCTGCACCAAATGAAATGCAGTTTGATATTGGGATGTTAAGTTGTTTCAACTCATTAATTACCAAGGAGGCAATATTTTCCCCCATAGCATCTCCATTTAACAATGGAAGATGCAAAAGATGAGTTTTCATTTCATTAGAACCATCACAGAAATATGTTAAAACGATGGGGTAAAGCTTCCAATCGCTGTCTTTGCTGCCATCGATTGACACCGAAAATGCTGAATTCTGGAGTGCAGCTATCGTTTTACTTTGTGCATCGCAAGCAATTTCGTTCACAATAGAAGGTGTTTTCGTGTGAGCACAAGCATATTTCTGAGCAATATTGGAGTCGGGAAACATCCATCTGAAAAGTTGATCGGCAGGGCGTAGCGGCACGTCGTGTTCGATGAGGAATGCAGTAAACAAACACTCTGCCAAAATGACATCGGCATCCGAATTCGTAGCCGAATTTGAAAAAAAATCATCCACTTTCTTTGACGTTGTCGAAGCCGAAGCATTAACTTCATGCTTTTTAGACTTAACATGCTTCACAATGTCGCTTCTTCCACCATGACTTATGAAGTCACACACACACACGTTGCAAAATGCATAGTTGTTTCCTTTGAAGGATTCTTTAATTGTTGGAAATTCAGCTTTGTAGGTAGGCCGAAAATATTGAGAATACGATTTTTTTAACTCATTTTGTAACAATGACGTATTAAGAAAATTCGTAGCACGTGCAAACAAACAAACCAAAAAAAAAAAAAAAAAAAAAAAAAACAGAATGCGACAATCCACGCTCGCTGAGTCTGAGCTGAGTAATTCTCTTGCTGCTGAAGCGAACGCGAAAAAAATAATTTGGCACCCACAAAGAAAAGAGTGGGAGAAACAAGTTCAGCGCATTGGATTGGCTGGTTAAGCGGCGAGTTGGGAGAAACCGCAGGTTACTGGATTCGAAGTAGTCGGTAGTTGGCGGTAAAACACGATGCAATTGGCGAAAAATTCTAAAATTTCGACAAAAATCACTAAAAACACTTGAAAAAGGAGAAAAATCGTAAAAAAATGGATTACGATCGTAAAATCGTAAAGACAAATGCATTTTTCGTAAAAATTACGAAAAATTCGTAAAAGTTGGCAGGTATGCTAATTATAAAATTCCGTTTTCAGTCTCAATTGTTTTCGTTTGACAAAACGTAATGATATTGCCTGAATCCGAGTTTTGAGCCGCTTTTCCCTTGATAAGTCCAGCTTAAATCTCAGGTTGGGCTAATTTACCATTTATTGCAATTATTTGTACATACTTGCTGTGTATTCTAGTTTTTAATTATTTGCGTGCATTTTTTAAAAAATTTATCAGTTTTTTCTCATCCCTTTTTGATTTTGAAGCTATCTCGTTTTGTAATTTTTACATTTTTTATGCAATAATTATGACTTATTTATTAATTTATAAGTCAAACAACAAAATCAACATTTATTAATTTATAAGTCAAACAACAAAATCAATGTTATATTTTCACAGAACTAGTTTTGATGGTTTTATCGAACCACCGTCGGCTTAATTTGCGCTTTTGCAACTGATGATGGTAGTTCGGTAAAACCATCGAAACTAGACCTGTGAAAATTTGAAAATATAATGCTGATTTTGTTGTTCGACTTCTGAATTAGTATTTGTTCGGCATGTTATTGTGTCTTAATTCTTTAGTATTTGTTGTTTTTACATGGTGTAACTATTTTACTCAGGAACGACAATGTCAAATGTACTTTAAAGCAATAGCTTTTGAACATTCATCTTCTTTGCAAATATTTTCGAATTTTGCAGCTCAATGCACAAAATTATTAACCACTAAGGTCTCTCTTGTTTGTGTTATCTTTCTACTTTCATATTAACAATATATATATATATTGTTTCATCATTAGGTAAATCCCAGAATTTCATATCCGTGGTAAATATAATAATAATAACACAAGCTACCATTACATCTTTAGAATTTGTATTCTCATTGGCAATTTTTAAAAAAGTAAATATTGTAACTACTTTAAAAGCAATCATTAGCAACATCATATGAACCAATCTCTTGGCAAGTTTAGAAAAACGTTTGGAGAAGACTCCAGTCCCAATAACAAAACAGTACCCCACATAAAATTCAAAAAGTTGGGAAATGATAAAAATGACTCACTTTTAAGATAGGAGAATAAACATTCTCTTTTTCCCTAAAGTGGTAATCGAAATTTTCAGGTCTGCTTCCAGCAAAAGCTCTTGGTAAGTGAAGCTTTGTGGTCTATTAGGAGTTCACTCTGTGAAATTAATTCATACGAATCCAACAAAAGCTCTGCATGAACTGTGAAAGAGCTACTACTCTTTTACTTTGTTTTCTAGAATCAACTGCTTTTTCTGCCAGTTAAACAAATTGGTTATTGGAATCAGTTCTGGAGCAGATCATCTAACTCTATTGAGGAGGCAGTTATAGCAAAGAGCTTCAAGAAAATGGGGATATGTAACTGCTCTGGAGGGTTCTGAATTTGGAAGACGGAATGAGCATTGAAGAAGGTGATGGCGATGAGATAGGTAACAGTTCCAGGAGCACTGAATGATTTTAAAGGGAGTGTCAGTAGACAGCAGTAAGAGCGGGTGATATTTAAGATACAATGAAATAAAATTCAAGATATATCTTATTAGCTATTTTAATGTTAATATTACTGTATTTTATGCATTGCTAATGGAATCTTAAATATCTATAATAATGGAATATTGGTTCCTTTTAAATAAATATTGTAGTAGTTGTGGGTCATTTATGTATAAATTTGCTGATAATTTATCTCCCCCCCCCTAGATGTAGAAAAAGAGGAAGATGAAGGTGAAGCTGAAGAAGAGAAAAATGAGCCAAAGCCAAGACCACTTCATAAAACACACTCTATTTTTCTTAGATATTTGGCGCCTTCTATTACTAAGCAAGAAGTTGAAGCAGTAAGTTTTATGTATGATATATGTGTATGTAAGATAAAAATTAATTTTAAATCCCCTAATTTTATTCTTAATTGAGAAAAGCAATCTCTTTGTTACATCTAATTTTACCGTACGCTATGCTGTATTTTACATTTATTTTTAAAATTTAACACAATAGAAGATAGATCTTTACAATCACAACTCAATAGAACACCCCACCTAAACAACACTCTTGTTCTGGGTAAACAATTTTGATGAAGCTACAGATAAAAACACTGTAATCACACCTACTGTTGAAGGGCTACTTCAATTCCTTTAGATTTTTTTAATATATTTGAAGACAAGAAGCAGCAAGTTGGCAGTAGAAGAGCAAGAGAAAGAATGCAGCATTTCCAAGAGGAAAGTTTGGTTCAGAATGATTTAGCTTTGGTTTTTGATTTGCAAATTGAAATTATTGGCTGAAGAGTTATGTAAGTGCCTGCATCATTAGAGTTCTGTAAGAATGGTTTGACAACTTTTAATTTTGAAATTAACAGAGTTTAGAAGGGTTAATAACCAAATTAAAAAAGAGATGGGACTATTAGAAATTAAAGTTAGTATTTTGATTTGAAATGATAATGTATTAGGTTGGATTATTTGTGCTGTGTATCTTAAATTCAAATTCTTGTTATAATAATGCTAATTAATTTATGGAAAATGTATTCCTGGGCCACACAAAATTGCTTCAGAGTCTGCCAGTTTGAGACCACTGTATTACAAAATACGTAAAAGATAATGTAATTTGATCTTAATCTTTTTATTTCTTATTATTTGAACTAACTGATATGACATTAAAATGTTATTCTTGTTTAGTAAGGGTATGTTTGTTAACTTAAATTTGAACATTACAGTTGTGTAAGCGGTTTCCTGGTTTCCTTCGGGTGGCCATAGCTGATCCACAGCCTGAACGTAGGTTTGTGCGAAGAGCTTGGGTTACTTTTGAGAGATCAGTGAATATTAAAGAGATGTGTTGGAAATTGAATGGTATCCGGGTAAGGAAATGTTTACGGATTCAGTACTAGTTACATGTTTTATTTGAATTAAAAATTATAAATTATAATTCTATCTTAATCTTTTTTTGGTGTTTATCTAATTCTTAGCATTTTTATTTATTTTTTTAATAATGTTTGATTTAATCATTCAGTTTAAAGTTTTTTAGTACTGAGTGAACAGTACATTTACTCTTAGAATTCTCAAATAAACACTAGTAAAACTAGAGGATAATAAATGTGTGCGCAGGAATTTTAGCTGTTATTTAATTATTGTTTAATTTTAAGAAAAAATATTTGATTACATATGTTATTTGTATATGTATAAATATTATTTAGTAAATTATTTTATTGTAAATCAAAATGGCATTCAGAATAAAGCAATATAGAATTAGTTTTTGAATGCATGCATAATTATTCTTTGCACTTTTAAGAAGATATAATTCTTTTCCATTTCAAATAAGGTTTTGTGGTACTAATCTGAATGTTCCACAGTTTAAAGTTAATATTTTCATATTCCAAAAAGGTAAGCCGTAAAAAAAATTAAAATTAGCATCTAAGTGTTACAAATTTTGGTATCTCTTTTCCTCATGCATTCATAGCTAATATGAAAGTTATAATATTTTAAAGTTTTTAGAATCTTTCATACTTGAATCCATAGAAAGTTATTTTTGTAAAATACCAAAAATTTATAATCTAATTGAGGAGGGTATGCAGATTTAAATTATAAAGATATTATTAGTACTTTTTGTGTCTCAGAATCATTGTATTTATATATATATGGGCATTTTTTATGAAATGTTGAATTTTGGTTTTCTAAAGAATTGTCTTTCTTTTCAACTTTACTCTATGTAGTTTTTATGTTACACTTAATGTTTTTATAGAGCATTTGTTATAGATATTCAGTTGAGGTCATTGTAATGATAATGGTTCAGTTTTGTAATTACACAAATTATTCAGTTTAGTATTTAATTTTGTAAGACTTTCAGATCTTATTTTTTAAAATAATGTTACTTTGTCTTCAACTATCTTAAATTTAAATTTTTGCCCTCAACTCCCTAAAACCTTTGCAGGCAACAGGAACATATTCATAACAAACATTTGTAAAAAGTTAAAGGAGCCATTTAAAAATTTTAAGGAACTTTGTTATCTGTAAAAACTGTAAAGTATTTTGAATTTTTATTTAATTTTTTAAGCATTCCCCCCCTTTTTTTTTTTTTTAGCTTCGTGATAGTGAACTTGGTGCTATTGTAAATCGAGACTTGAGCAGAAGGATTAGGTCTGTAAATGGGATATCATCACATAAACAAGTTGTCCGTGCAGATATTAAACTAGCAGCTAGAATCATCCAGAATCTTGACAAAATCAAGAAATTGTGGGAAGATGACGAGAAAAGTGATGAGGTTGATGACAGGGTAATACACACTCTCTTCCTGTATTCCTCAAAAAATAGCTTTCTGATATGCACTTTATTAACTGTGTATTTATTTGTTTAACACCTCCCCCCAAAAAAAAACTACTCTCCCATAAGCATTTTCACCTCTATTTGTAATGTCCAACAATTTCCACTGGTGACCTGTTTTATTAATATTGATGAGAATATTGTAATTAAGCCTCTGTAAATGTTGGCATTTCCTTATGTGTAAAAGTTGTTTAATAATATATATAAAATATTGCTCTCTTTTATTGATGGAGTTTCATTTTAACTGTGTTGTTCAGTTTAAGATAAAATATAATTAAAATAGCAGTCACTATTTTTAAAGTAGTAATTTGTTGACATGTAGCATTAGAAAAAATCTTCTGAGATTTACTTTAGCAAAAGTGTGAGCTTTCATCTTTGAAATAAGTAAATTAATAAAGTGATGCATAAATTTAATTTACAGTTTATGTGTCTAGCTAAGTATTGCCCTCCTCCCTGTTTTTTTGGACATGCACTGAGTATAAGTAACTCCCTGCCTAACAACACAGCTTTTTTTAACATGGTTCGAGACTAAAGCTGCTGGATTAGATTTATTATAAAACTAAAGTGATTCCAATATAAATAATTATATTATTTATTAATTCTGAAAGGAAAACCATTTTACATTTCATAAAGAAATTCAAAAGCAAATGCCAGTTTTAATTTTTATTGTAAAGCTTTAGTTTTATGATTGAGCAGTATATAATTATTTAAATAATTATTTGTTTATTATAAGGGTATCCTTCTGACATCTAAAAATCCCTTATTGAAAAATATTACTGATTACCTCATTGAAGAAGCCAGTGCTGAAGAAGATGAATTGCTTGGTATGGGGGATAGTGATGAAAACAAAGATAGTGAAGAAGGTTGTACTTTAGAAAGAGATGAATCTTTAATAAAAGTAAGTTTCATGTGAAATATTTTGCATTAAAGCATGTATAATTTAGTTTCCCAAGCAACGTTTATCATTGTATTCATTTAGCACAAATATTTTTCTGATTTTTCAATTGTTTAAGTGTAGTAATGCCACAAGCAACTAAAATTAATTTTATTGAAAATTCCACAAGCATTAGTTGCTGCAAAGTTTTCATTTTTTACATGAAACTATCTTTGTTTTGAATGTATGATTTATTCAAGTTCCCTTTCCTCAAAATTCAGATTTATTATGAAAATCACCATGTTTAAGTGAAAAGTATAATTGTTGCAGCTTTAGCGTATTTTGCTAAATAATACAGTTAAATAAATTAAAAATTGTAGGTTAGGTAATGATATATTAAACCAAATTTGATGTAAAATTTGTAGCATTTAACAGGGCGTACAGTCCTTAAAAGTTCTTAATTTTGGCCAAACTCAGCAGAAGGTCCTTAATTTTAATCATCTGAAATTTCTGTGTTTTTACGACTGTCATTTTGAGTGTGAATTAGCATTTTTTAGGCATATTTTTGGCAATTCACTGACATATGTGGTTATCTTTTTAATGGTTTCATGGGTTATAATTTGTTTCTGTTTCTAATATAAATGATGGGATACTCGAGTTTCTAAGCAAGAAGTGAAACATAAGCATTTCGAAATTCTCATTTTTTTCTAATAACTTAAACAACTTTTCACTTTTGGTGATGTGAATTCTTTTATTAAACAGTTCTAAATTTGGCGACTTATCAACATTTTGGTGGTTTTAAGATCAGTTTCTGTAGAAAATTTTTAATTCCGAGATCTGAGAATTTTTCGACGATTTTTTTAAAAACATCGTAAAATTTCATTAAAATTGAAATTATATGTAAAAATTAACATTAAAATAAAACATTTTTATTTTTGCTGTCATATTATAGTTTCATTTTGACTGCTTATTATACAATATTTTGAATATGAAAAATAAACAAGGTATAATGCTCTAAAGCACAATTTACGAAACAGCTCTTAGCAAAAGCAGACTTAGCTATATAATTAATTAAAAATGTCTTCTTTTCAATTTTTTCATAGTAAGAGATTTTCCCATGTAATTGTCTCAGAATATTCAAAATTCTCAGAATATGCATCAGTTTTCTCTATAAAATTAATTTTACACATTTTCCCTCTTTTTAACCCCCCAAAAAATATTTCTGGCTTTTTCCTGTTACAAAATTGGTAGGGATAATTTTTCTTTAGGATTTTAGATATTGCAGCTTGGAAGGTTTAGGATTCCAAGGCAAGGTATATAGACCCACGGTTCTAGAAGATTCGAGAAATATGTGACAAAATGAAAAATGTCTCCATGTTATCAACACTTAATGGATGTATTTTACAAAAAGTTTGCAATGAATTTCTTACTTGTTTGGAGAACGTCTGGAAGAACAATGAAAACATAATATTTGAAAGTTTTACTTCTGATACTAGAATCTTAATATGTTTATCTTCCCTTTATTTTCTCTACTTTTCACTAGACTCGAGCATGAAAAATATCAAAAATACTTCTAATCTTATCACATCATTATAGAAAAGGATTTTTGTATTAATAAAGAAATTGAAAACTTACAATTTAAAAGATTCATCTGATATATCTTAATGCATAATACACATAGGCATTTTCCCCACCTGATGCAATCTCTGTGGATCCTAAATTCTGCTTCCTAGTGCCTTTCTAAATTTGCTTCCAATGCCTGCTCTAAATTCTAAAAGTTCTGCCATTTCTAGAGTTTGTTGTTCGGTGTGTCACTAAATTCTAAAAATTCTGCCACATCAGCTCTTTAACTGGCCTTTACCATGTATATTTCATATTTCCTCTAAATGTTCATATAACTAAAGAAATAAAATTAACCACTTTTCCTATACATGCTAAATGCATTTAGTGTTTTTTAGAATAACAGAAATCCTTAATTAAATCCCAAAATTCGAAAATGGAAAGAAATGTGTTGAAGAAAGAAACTGAATACATAAAGAAAATTATTCTTCAAAGATATGCAGTTATTATTATGTAAATTACCTAATTGCTTATGATTTCAGCCTTTACTATAATTTTCCATTTCTATTTCCTCATATGATAGTGTTACTGAGCCAGATTAAATTAAAATTAAATTGTATAATCTTTGACCACTACTCCACATTTTTAATTTCAGTTTGACTGTTCTTGTTTAATTACATCACCGTGAGCTATAATTGATTATTTTAGCATCTGAACATGCCTTTATGTTTTAAGTTTCTTTTTAAATAAGAGGCTTATTCAAACCTTTTTCTGATATTGTAGTTACTTTCAGACATAGGGATAATATGCTTCACAACTGTTGGGGTTTTGGACTATTTAACTTTTACCAGATCGAGTAAACCCTCATTAGGTACCTTGTGGAGAGGTTGACAAGTTAGGAGATAAAGTACGCAGAAACTAGCGAGAGCATTGGTTCGCCCATTGAGACAAATCTTTAATTTCTCAAACAAATCTCTTTAAGCATCTAGAAAAGTTGCTTAAAGAGAAGGAAATCTATATACAGTAGCCAAAATGTTTGGGAAGGCTTCAAGTTAACATTTTACCGACCTCGAGCGGTTCAACAGCATATATGCATCCGACCGGCTGCTCAGCCGCAGATTCTCCCTGTTCTGAATAACTGTCAGGACAATCTGATAAATTGTCTAAATAAAATTCTCCAGTACCACTTTTTTTTTTGCTCATCATGAATGGTAAATTTTTTTACAAATGGTGTGAAAATGTGGGAGTTTACGAAGCAAAGCACTTAACGCAAGTGAGCAATGTACCTCAATGCTAATAATAAAATGCAGATGATATAGCAAAGGGCAATTGTTTATCACCGTAGCTACCGGTTGATGGGCTATCTTTAGGTAGCCCCAAGAAAAAAGCAATTAATAGATCGGTTAGTGTTGCTGAAACAAAAGCCGATTAATAGGCTATTGGTCGGTAGGCGTTGGCGAAAAAGAGCCAATTAATAGGCAATCAGTCGGTAGGCGTTGGCGATAAAAAGCCGATTAATAGGCGATTGGTTGGTAAATTGTTAAAATGACGGTTAAATATTTTGTTGAGTGTTGTTGTTACAAAACATAAAATGTTTTGTAGCTTTTAATGTGTAATTATCCTAATATCATTTAAGAATCAATGTCATAAATTACATGTATTTTAAGATGTGAAATTTTATTGGATTTTGATTTTAATAGGGCCTTTTTTAACAAATATAGTTAAAAAATAAAATTTTAATAGTGGCCATGTAAATCCATAATGACTAAGGTTATCAAACTACCTAATTTAATTATTTATAACTAATTGCTTACCCTTAAAAATTATCTCTACATATTAAAGCGAGTTATTGCCTTTCATTAATACTCGCTGTGGTCACAAGGTAAAATACAAAAATGAAAAAATTCAAGTAAAACTTATTCTTTGCATATAGTGAGACTTAATACCAAATAACTTATCACCTCTGGTGCTTTAATGGGTTTTTGGAACCTTAAAGTATATTAACTGGGATACAACCCCTAGAACTCTACACGAACCTACGACACTAACTGCATTAAACAGAGCCTGACTAACTTTCAACATTTGCCAACCACGCCTACATCAGGCCTTTTAAGTTTGTTCTAATCAGAAGGTCTCTCTCTAGACAAGCAGCAGCGGTGACAAACATTCAGTCTTTTGTTATGCTGATTATGATCTTATTTCTCATTTTAACCTATGCCGTTTGACATAAAATCTACCTGCTATTTACTAAACCTCTAGACTGACCAAGTATGTGAAAAAATGAGACATTAAAAAAATAAACATAAAGCTAATTGTTAGTAAAATGTAAATGTCACTTATCTTCTTTCAAATATGTCCAACTATTATAAGTGTAAAATATTTGATGCTACTTGATAAATTGCTTAAAGTTTATTTTATTCTCAAACTTATTAATAATTATGTTAATTAATTCATGTTTAGTAATAAAGCATACTACTTAGGGATCTATTTTATTTTTAGGAATGTATTACAAAAGTAAAATTCAGGCATAAATAACACTTTTAATTGAATTTATTCAGTTCCCGTTTGCTTATAGGTTGTTAATTTTTTTCATTAATGGTCCTTAAAAGTATTTAATTTCCGTGTGCAAAAGTGTGTACAAATCCTGATTTAGGAAATTGAGTAATGATATAGGTTGTCTGCTTTGTTGCAGTGCACCCAGTAACAAAAAGAATACAAAATTTGGTAATTTTCATTCCCCTCCCCAGTAATCCTATATTCATAAGATCACTGGGATCCTATAGATCCTATCTGCATTGTAAAATTCAAACCATGTACAAAAAAAATTTTGCAACATTTGCCCCCCCCTTTTTTTTTTTTTTTTTTTTTTTTTTGCATGTGTTTCTGTTTCCCCCCCCTAACAATAGTGATTTATTTCTAAGAATTATGTAATCTCCCTTCCCAAAAATAAATTCTTATTTTTAGATTTTCAGTTACGAAAAATTTTCTTTCCTAGTCGTTCAAAATCTAAGCTGATACATGTCTGCTGCTTGTGCTCTGCTTCTACTGCCTCTTGCTGCCAAAAGGCAGTTGCTTTGAGAAACCCATAATTGCATTTACTAAATAGCATGTAAAACTTGCAGTCTTGTATATAAACGAAAACTAAAAATTAACATTACAGTCAACAACCATAGACCACACGTTAAGAAGTATGCAGTCATCAAAAACTGTACTAATTCAACTACCAGAGAGCTGAAACATTTTTAATTTCATAATTTCAGTAATATAGCTATCAAGATCTTGGATATTGTACTTAATCTTAAAAATAGCCTTTTTAAGAAGTCTCGCTATGTTTTACGACTCAGAATGCTGTATGCATATGCATTAAACTCTAACAATTTATAATAAATCTTTTATGCTACAGTTTATGAATGGTTCAGTCTTTTCAGCAAGAAAACACAAAACAGATACCAGAGGAAAAAAGC